TTTGCCCCTAAACTCTGCAAGTGCTATAGATGCAAAGTCTCTCCACTAATGTTCTATTAAAAAAAAATAGAAATCTTTTTGTGTAAAAAAATTTTCCAACAGCCATCTTCTATAAGATTGTATTTGGAGACATGAGGCATGTTTTGATCTCCACTTTCCTACCCTACACGTTGTTCAAATTGTATTTGCCAGCTACCTCTCCAGTGGCAAGCCTTCAGCTCAGAGCCATGCCTCTACCAAGAAGGCAACATGAGGCATAAGCACTCTTGCAAAACCCCAATCTAACATTGCTCGTACAAATGACAGCAACCAACAGCAATGCTGGTACCTGGTTTGCTGTTTATGTCATTTTGGAAGAGGCCTACATGTCTCCACAAGACGTGCAAGTTTAACAGATATGACAAACTAAACTATTTCATAGCAAAAATTGTATTTGAAAAATGGCAAGGATCTATTGATCATGTTTTCCTCCAGATATGCCCCCAAGCACAACAGCTCCATGCACTCATTATGATTATCTGCTGCATGCTCAGCTGTTCTCAGTACAGTAAAATTACTAAATTACAGCCTTTGTGATATTTGCCAATGCCACTAACTGCAGCAGTCACCACAAGTATTTTGATTATAACCTGCAAAATCAGGATCTCCTAAGTCACATTCCACAACAAGAATTCACTGTGATTCACTAACTTCTGTCTTCAGCACAAGCACAGCTTTTTTATCCAAGCTCATTAGTGGTACATGGACACTAATATATAACACTTCAAAGAGCTAACAAAACAACAATTTAACCCCTTAGGTACACAATTCATCCAACACATTTTGTTTGAAACATGAAACAAAAGGGGACAGAATATAGCTAGGTACAACTGGCCAACAAAGCTTGAGTAGTAAACAAGTCCCAAAGGCAGATGGTTCATATTTCTGACAAAACACACGTCAGACTCAGGTTTCAGACACTTGGTCAGCTGAGCAGCAGCAACAAGAGGATTACAGGAGTATAGTATCCTGGCACACATTCACAACACAGCACTAACACAGCTTCAAATGACTCTCATGCATGATCGGAGGATTACACCATTTATACTTCACTCATCTCTTCGTTTGTGCTTAATTATACGTAACCTTTGCGGTACAACCATTCATTTGACAAATCATTTGTCAGTAACTTTACTGACAGCTGAGGCACCCCTCAGCGAAGGAGCAGCTGCGTGGCTCTTGCCAGCTGGGGCAGGGTTCACTCGTGCAGCTCTCCCAGGCTGGCTCACGCCAAGGACAGGCTGCAGGGCAAGCACCAGCAGCTCACGGCTCTGGGTGTCTTCTTTAAATGCTGAGACACTCCTAGAAAAACAACTCTGCTTTCCTCAAACAGACAGGTTACTACTTCCCCAGGCAAGGGATTGACCAATTGGCTACCCATGTGTGTGGTTGCTGATTAAGTATTGGGTATTTTGGATTAACCTGTCACTGTCTAAGGCCTACCTTACATGCTGAAGTAAGGCTAAATTGAGATGCTCCATCAATATGAATCTCCAAAAGGGGCAGTTTTTTTTTTTCCCTCAAACAGTCTAGCCCCCAAAATGTACAAAGATCCATGGACCTGAATAGTAGATGACATCTCTACTTTTAAGTTCATTTCAGAAAAGGTATTTTAGTAATTAATTTAGTCTGGGTCACTAAGGTATGCCTGCACTTGGAAATCTAGAAAAACCAACTTCCCGAGGAACTACTGAAGTTTGGAAGTACACAGCTGAATCCAATAGGTAGATTTTTGTATTTTTTTCCAGAGCAGAATAATTATGGAGGCCTGGATAAACCCAGAGTGACATGCTAGCATTAAACAAGGTCAAAATTTGTTTATATTGAAACACACTTACAGAAGGTCATGCTTTGGCAAAGGAATGAGACTGTACGAGAACCTTGGGAAACACACTTTGTAATAAAACAAATTGCCTGAACAGAATTCAGGAGTGTGCAAACAGAAAGCGTACACACAGAAAGAAAGAAAACTGCTGCACAGAGTGAATGCTCAGACTTTCTGACACAGAGGTCCCAAGCCCACAGCACAGTAACCTCTGACACACTCACAGCAGCTACAAAGACAGCTGCAAGCTCAACAGGACATGGACACAAACAGGACTCAGCTACAAAAGCCAAGCAAGTGTCACTGCTTTAACTACTGCCTTCTGGTTTGCCTCACAGGTACTTTAAACAAACTGTCTCTTATAGTGGTTTAAATAGCTGAATGAAGCAGAGAAAATATAAACCAAATGTCATTCATTTATATCACTGGAAAGAAATAGAGACTCTACAGCCTCACTATGCACACAACTGTGCTCCATACAACCCACACTGCTAGTCAGTAATTTAAAAAAGTCCAAGCTGCACCTCAATATACATTGCCACCAACTATCTTTGAAGAGACTCTTCAGCTCATAGGAAATACAATTTCTTTCCCCTGGCTCATCAGAATTTTACAATTTTGTAAGTCAACTCAGTCTAAACCAATACAACTAATATAAAAAGGACATAAAGAACACATTGTAGTTTCACTATCATCAGAAATCAAGTTTCTTCACACAAATCCAAATCACAGTACATGCAAATTCTGTATGAGAAATGTGCATCAGACAACAAAATCAGACAGCCATGACAGGGTTATTCACACATTTCCTTTGGGCTTACTCTTCTTCAACATTTGTTGAAAATTCAGCCATGGTTTTGTAAAACTAGCACTACATTCATGTAGCTCAATTAAAAAGACCATTTATTTTGAAGTGAGACACCAAATAGCCTCTATAAGCTGACCACAAAACAGGGTCTTCTTCCCATCAAACATTCTTACAAATGAACAAACACCACTGAACTGCACCTTGAGTATTGTGCTCCTTATGCTTGGCATATTTTCTCTCTTGAATACTTGTGTCCTGTGACACCACCAAATTCTTTTTTGGCTAACTCAATATATAAGTAACACAGCTCTGTGACATGGTGCATATTGTTCAGGCCTTCCACACCTCAAGTGGGAAAACTTTTGCACTATCACTCACATTTTTATGTCAATTTTTCCTCTAGGCCTATGAAGACTCCAGCTGAACTTGAAATTACCCAAAGCTGTAAACATTTAGGATCACATAAGTTAAGTAACTACACTGGGTTCCATTTATTTCCTTAAACTGCTGTAATTTTCCTACTTGAGTTTTCCAAAATAAATACAGGCATTAAAGAGTAAGTAAGTGGAGATGTTAAGTGGCCCATAAAACTTATTAAGATCAAGGTGATAGGTTTAGCAAGGTTGATACAACATAGACCTACTAATTTTAGAAACTCCTGGCAACCTTTCAAGACTAAACCATAGAGATGTTTTTTTTTCAGAGGTTTTAAATGTCAGTGACTACATAGCTTCCCATCAGTCTTAAGACATGAAGACCCTTAAATACATAGCCACACATACAGAAGATTCCAATGACACATCCAGTGACAAACGGAGCACATCTAAAGAATAAGGCTGGCCAGGCTGTAACTTCCTGTTCTTGCTCTGTTCATTTCCAGTAAAAGAAGACAGGCTTAAAATTGTAAAAGAAAACTACTTCTTCTGAAGAATCACAAGACAATAAAGTAATACAGGCACTACAATGTTAAAACAAATGCATCATGAAAAAGCTGCCACAGAAGAGATGTCCAAAGGCAAACAGTAACGCCAGGCAATATAGAACTATAGAAATCCTTACCAAAAAGCAAAGTTTTGTCCAAACATCCAAGGCATTAAAGCAAATCTTGAAATTTTTACACCTCTTTAGTCACAACTGAAAAGGCTCACAAACACTTAATACTTCCCCAGCAACAATTCACAAACCCAACTTTCAGATAAACTACAGTGACACAATTTGTTTGGTGCAAGGGCTAAAATAAAGATGTTCTAAGATTTAGACCATTGTTCTTGCCAGTACAGAAAGACACAGCATAAGAAGCACCAATGCTAGAGAAGAAGCCCAGCAGCACAGGAAGGGTGGGGAAGAGGTAACAAACGCAGGTGAATGGAGAGCAGAGAAAGAAAGCACAGCTTCTACTCATGTTCTCCTTTAAGTGGAGACAAGGGGTTTTGTTGGGTTTTTTTAACAGTACAAAATCCTGTTTCACTGAGACGATCTATCAAGCCCATTACTGGCTTTCCGTACTTACAGCATTCTTTCACTAATACCATTACCATAATTGTGCAATTGTATTCACTTTTAATCACTCTTTGGCTGAACACTGGCTCATTTTTGTCCCTTACTGTAAGAGTGTAATGAAGAAACATTCTGTTAAGCTTCACGATGTTACACATGGCCTTATATTCACTCTACCATCAATATCTATATGATAATAAGATCTCAACAGCTCTCGTGTCAGAGAGCAGGAGTCAAATAACCTCCGAGATGGGTTTATCGTTATCTAGATGGAAGCATATTTTTAACAACAACACAAGCCACTCCTGGATTTCATTCCAGGGCTTCTGAAAATAAAAATGCTATTTATCATCAACAACATTTCCCGAAGTACTCCTGAATTTTACACAAACAGGTCTCCTATACACGTGCGGTTAAGAGTTCACGTCCGAGCTTTAAGTAAGCCGATCTCAGCACGGCAGATGCAAATGTTCACGCTCAAGACCATTACCTTACTCTCTCCTTCCCTCGCTAAGCTCACAAAACATCAGGTTAGGAACCCTTATGTCGAACCCCATCCCAATGGTACCCGTGTCAGGGATAACGCAGGAAGGAGGGGCCAGCCCGCCTCTCCGGCCGCTCGGCGAGGCGAGCAGCGGCTGTCCGCCGGTGCCCACACCGCGCCCGGGCCCGGGGCTGTCAGCGCGGGGCCCTGCGGGGCCGGGCCGCGCTCCCGATGCGGCCGAGGAGCCGCGGCCGAGGAGCGGGGCCTGCGCGCCGGCCGCCGCCGCCGCTGCCCGGGAAAGCCGCGGCGACCCCCGCACGCCCTCACCCCGCGGCCCCGGCACTCACCGAAGTCGAGGAACTGCTTGATGGAGAGGGGCGAGGGGGAGAAACGCGAGTAGTACTCGATCTGCTTGGGGATGGGGCTCTTGAGCAGCGCCCCGCACAGCCGCATGGCGCGGCCCGCCCGGCTCCGCTGCGCTCCCGCCGCCGGCGGCTCCTGCCCGGGCGCGGCCGCTCCGCGCCGCCCGTCGCGCTCCGCGGCCCGGCCCGGCCCGGCCCGGCGGGAGGGGCGAGCGCCGAGCCCGCTCCGCGCACGCGCACGCCGGCGCGCGGGGGCGGGGCGGGAGCGGAGCGGGGCCGTGAGGGGAGCGCGGGTGGCACAGCCCGGCCCGGGGGCACAGCCCGGCCCGGGGACACCGCCCGGCCCGGGGGCACCGGCACTGCCCTCGGTCCGGCTGGAAAAACCCCTGGGATCACCCAGTCCAGCCTGCGACCCAACGCCGCCGTGCCAACTACACCATGGCGCCGAGCGGCACGTCCACTCTTTCCTTCAGCGCCTCCAAGGACGGCCGCTCCGCCACCGTGTTGTCCACAAAAATCGGTTTCATGACCTGCTGTGTGAAAAGCCAATAATAGTCGAGAAAGAGATGTTTTGTTTCAGGGTTGGTCAAGCTTGAGTGCTCAGTGGTATTCTATGAGTCAAGCGCACCAACTATCAAAACTTTTTACTAATTATAGATTTTAGTAAACAAAAGATTAAGTTGTCATTGGCTACAAGTTACATAGCTCTCTTATTAATCAGGATTCTTCTATTGGTCAATGATTCTCTCACCTGCCACGCTAATTAGATCTCTCTTCTGCTGCAGGGCTTTCCTGGGACGGGGACAGTGAGTCAGTGGTCCCAATCTCCCCCTGCCAGAATCACCTCTTCCCGGCTGGAGCTGGCTTCAGCACAATTGCTGAGTTAGCTTTATTCGTTTCTTCTTAATGTTGAGAGTTCTGCCAGATGTCCCTGTGGCCCGTGAATTCTGCATTCTTTGTGTCCACTATCAGTGGGCATCCTTCTCCCCAAGCGCTGTTAACCTCCCTCTACATCTGAGATCATCACAGCATGTCAAACCCTAACCCTTAACAAGGCAATTCTACCAACAAGTTGTTTTTCTGACAGCTGGACATCACTCAGAGCTTGCTTGCTATCTAGCTGCTGTTTCACAGATTAAATCTCCTACTTCTTGATTAAGCTTGAACATATACAAAGCTCAAACATCAAAGAACATCTTTTCTTGAGCAAATTTTACATATTCCACATTTTGCAACACCTTGGTAGTCCACTCCATTATCTATTCGCCCCTTCTGTGAAGAAATTCCTCCTGATGTCCAACCTATCCCTCCCCTGGCAGTTTAAGGCTATGTCCTCATGTCCGGTTGCTGGTTGCCTGGGAGAAGAGCCCGACCCCACCTGGCTACAGCCTCTGTTCAGGTTTTGTATGGACCAGTTCATATGTCTCACCTGATCCATAACAGGGTCCCTGCCCAGCTGGCTTCCAGCCAAAATACAGCCCTCAGGTATCTACTGGGTTCTACAGCGGGTGTGAGGCTGGCAGAACAAAGTTCACTACGTGTTAAAATAGTTGAAATTTTCTGAAAAAGTCCCATTTTTATCTGAGAAAGCATCTGAACACAATTAAAATTAATTTTGATGGCTAGAATCAAAAGTGAAGCAAGGTATTGTAGTATCAAAATGTATCACTGAATGCAGTCACTGATTGCTTTTTGCTATGATGTGGTTTAGGTACATTTAAGGCAAATAACTGGTGACCAATTCCTTATTTTTCTCCAGTGAATTAAATGCAAGCTTTAGCAGGTACAAGATAGTATTACTCTAATTTTATAACTGACTTGCAAGAAAACCCAGTACTCTTCAATTATTGGAAGTCTCTCTCCATCCTTTCTGTCATGATTGTCCTCACTGAATTAGAGACTGAGAAATCCTAACCTAATGTACAAAATAACTGGAAAGCATTTTAAAATCACTTCAGTTGCAGCTTATAGGAATGACTGGCTTGAAGAAGCATGTCATGTAATCAAGACTGACAAAATGAATCATCTACTGTAATTCTGAAGCTTTTTTGGCAGGTGGGAAAAGTGTTTTAAAACTTTTGTTATATATACTCGTCAGGATTTTATTGTGATTCATTTAGAGCATAACTCTGAAATCAGTTGTGGAATTATCTGGCAGAAAACTATCTTTTTTTGTCAATGACAGAACAACATTTCCCAAATTAGGATGAAATTAGCAGCTTCAAATGATGATTCATTATCAACATTTAAACAACTTGATTTTATGTATCTTTCACATTTTAAAGTAATTCTAGTGTGATTTCAGCTTCAAAAAGTGGCAAGACAACAGTTAACTATCGAGTTGTCTTTCTAAACACAAAATCATTTTTTCAATATAAAGCATCACAGCATCATTTTTTTTTTAATTTCTTAATCCTATATTAGCCAACCCATGTAAAAAATTGGAATTGTTTTTGTCTATGGTGATACAGACTAAAGCCACAATGAGGACACGCACAAGGTCACTGCAAAACAGAGGTGTGCTCTTCTTATCAGACTCCCAGTAGCTTCTCTCAGCTCTGGAGAAATTGATGACAAAACCAACAGCTCAAATTCTCCAAAAACTGTTGGAAACACACTGTAGAGACATTCAAATCCCAGACCCACCCAACAGCTCTTTGTGGCCTTGTGCTTAAGAAGACTGCAGGACTTGCTTGAGAAAACATAAAATGCACATGGGAAAGGCTATGGTTTTACCAATGCAAGACAGCAGCAAGAATACACATAAACCTAGTTCTTAAACAATCTACCTAAATGAAGAGAAGCTAGTGGCATAAGCCATGCAAAATACAAAATGTCACTGGGATCAATAGGATTAAGTTATAGAAGCTGAGTTTTGCTTTTTGGACCGGTTGAATTTCTCATACCTCATACCTGCCTTCTTTATGTATTTCAGAACATATCTGGTGCAGAAAAGCTTCCTGAACTCTGTGAGAGCCCCCCTGCATCTTTGATTAAATGTTAATAAAGTTCTACAAGCATACAGGAAAGAAATTATGTACTCCTTAAGAAAATTTTATTTTAACGTTGATAACACCTAACACTGCTGAATTTCTCTGGTGTTTTTATCATCTCTCTTTTACTGAAGGTATTGTTTTCCTATTTTCCAGTTAGATTCAAATATGGAACAACTGGAATTAACCAAGGGGTCAAAGATGACTCATGTTTACATGGCCATTTAGTAGCCAGAACAACTTAGTCACTTGTTCAGTTAAAATCTGTGAGCATACAGGAAACTGGAAACCTCAGCACCTGTAAGGGAATTAGGGTCTTGGTATGGACACTTGCCAGAACCCTGCACTGAGGTCAAGATGCCTGTGGTGTCCTGCCTTAGGAAGCACCACCCAGCCCCACGGCCCCTGGCTTGATCCCAGGAGCCCCAGACACATCATGGAATCAGTTCTTGTTGGGCCATCACTGTGACAAAGGAGATGGAAAATTAAATCTGAATAAACAATCTTGCCTTAATAATTTTTGTTGTTTTTCTGTGTTGGAGTTGGTATAAAATCACTGCTTCTAACTCACAAAAACTTTGAGAGGGAAAAGCAGCAATATCAGGATTTGCTGCAGAGTGACACCCTAAAACAGAGAAACTGATGTAGAGAATATTTGCAAAAGCAAAGCTTTTGTGTTTCCTACCCTCAGAAATTTCTAGCACTGACTGTTGACCACTGGATTTAGAGGCAGTACTTAAAAACTGGCCTCACCTAGGTTTGTGTTTTAGCTCTGATGGGAGGGAGGGACTGTGTACCTTAATGACAGAGTGTACATGGGAGAGCCTTTGCTATTCCTTGTATGGGACTTGTCTTTATATGTTAATTCAGTGGAGCCAGGGAGATAAATAAGAGACCCTTCTATGACTAGTAACCAGAAAATTAAGTTACCAGAAAATAAAATTCTCCCTAAGTTTTCGTTTTCTTAGCCCTTAAAGTGCTAAGAGAGAGAGTGCTTAAGAGTTAAAATTAGAAATTCACTCCTACAGAAATTTGTAGGCAAACTTGGTATGGAGGTTTTAAAAGATGCATTTTTGTTACATTTTCAGATCTTGTTCTTTCTGGACCTTTATATTACATGCGCTTGTTTTCAGGGATCAAAGCTTTTGCATGTAATATTTCACCCAAGGAACATTTATTCACAGTGAAAATTTCAAACCTTTAAAACACCAGAGCCATAATCTTCTTAACAAAGCTTGTTTTATTTCACTGCAGAATACATAGTATGTCTATAAACTAGCTGCAGGGGATTCAGCATAATGAACTTCTTTGTATGGATGTCAGAGGAGGGGAAAAGTAATTCTAAACTGTAAACCAAGAAAACATGGTTATTAGTGTTTTTAGACACACTGACATTGTGGAATACATTGGGGTTTTAAATTTTTTTTACCAAAAAAATAAACCTATATTGAAGTTAATAAACCCCTTTTTCTTAAAGTTCAGAAGGACTCATTGAGAACAGGGATAATACAATTGGAACATGAGCAATAGTAATAACCGATAACAGTTATTTGGAGAAAATTTATACAGAAAATTATACTACTAAAGTGCCTCTTACAAGATGACAGAAAAATCAGCACAGAACAGGAAAAACTATTATAGGATGAGGTTTCATACAAATTCCTGCTCTTCACAGAACTAATATTTGTCAATAACCCCACTGTATTTTCCTACCTGGCATTATATACTCTCAAGGGTAGATTCAAGTAGTGGATCAAAACTACACAGGGAACAAATGGAGTGAGAAAGGGATAAGGTACTTTACTGAAGCTTTCCTGAACTTCAAAAAGGATCTGGTTTTATTTTTAATGATTTATCACTTCCTAGTATTTGTGCACACCGGTGGGTAACTTTGAAGGACTGTTACCCACAGGGTTCAGAAGATTGATAGTTCTTGCATTTGGGAATGTGCATGTAGTATTATCTCTTGTTGCTACCATAGTCTACATTTTCATCCATTCTTGTCTATTACCCAAGAAAATAAGGGTTTTTTTACCAAGTTTTTTGACAGCAAAAGCTGGTAGTCACTGCATTTATTGTTTCTCATCCTAGTTAGTTGACCAGCAGAATTCAGCAGTCTCTCTGAAGGAACCATCTGAAACTACCAAAGATTGTGCTCAGCAAATCTAAGAGCTGGTAATTTGAAGAAAGTCTTGACTC